ACCGACTGAGCCACCCAGGCGCCCCAAGCAATCTACACATTCAATGCAATCCCTATCAAAATGACACCAGCATTCTTCACAGAGCTAGAATAAACAATTCTACAATTTGTATGGAACCAGAAAAGACCCCAAATAGCCAAAGCAATCTTGAAAAAGAAAACCAAAGCAGGGAGGCATCACAGTCCCAGACTTCAAGCTATACTACAAAGCTGTAACCATCAAGACAGTATGGTACTGGCACAAGAACAGACACTCAGATCAATGGAACAGAATAGAGAACCCAGAAATTGACCCACAAACGTATGGTCAACTAATCTTTGACAAAGCAGGAAAGAATACCCAATAGAATAAAGACAGTCTCTTCAGCAAGCAGTGCTGGGAAAACTGGACAGCGACATGCAGAACAATGAACCTGGACCCTTCTTACACCATACACAAAAATAAACTCAAAATGGATGAAAGACCTCAATGTAAGACAGGAAGCCACCAAAATCCTCGAGGAGAAAGCAGGCAAAAACCTTTGATCTTGGCTGCAGCAACTTCTTACTCAACACGTCTCCGGAGGCAAGGGAAACAGAAGCAAAAATGAACTCTCGGGACCTCATCAAAATAAAAATCTTCAGCACAGCAAAAGAAACAGTCAGCAAAACTAAAAGGCAACAGACAGAATGGGAGAAGATATTTGCAAACAGTGTATCAGATAAAGGGTTTGTATCCAGAATCTATAAAGAACTTATCAAACTCGGGGCGCCTGGGTGGCTCAGTCAGTTGACTGCCTGACTTTGGCTCAGGTCATGATCTCGCTGTCCATGGATTCAAGCCCCGCATTGGGCTCTGTGCTGACAGCTCAGAGCCTGGAGCCTATTTCAGATTCTGTGTCTTCTCTCGCTCTCTGCTCCTCAACCCACTCATGCTCTGCCTCTGTCTCTCTCTCAAAAATAAATAAACATTGAAAAAAAAAAAAACTTAAAAAAAAAAAAAAGAACTTATCAAACTCAACACCCGAAACAGAAATAATCCAGTGAAGAAATGGGCAAAAGACATGCATAGACACTTCTTCAAGGAAGACATCCAGATGGCTAACAGACACATGAAAAAATGCTCAACATCACTTATCAGGGAAATCCAAATCAAAACCACAATGAGATACCACCTCACACCTGTCAGAATGGCTAACATTAACAAGTCAGGCAACAACAGATGTTGGCGAGGATGCGGAGAAAGAGGATCTCTTTTGTATTGCTGGTGGGAATGCAAACTGGGGCAGCCACTCTGGAAAACAGTATGGAGGTGCCTCAAAAAAACTAAAAATAGAACTACCCTACGACCCAGCAATTGTACTACTAGGCATTTATCCATGGGATACAGGTGTGCTGTTTCGAAGGGACACATGCACCCTCATGTTTATAGCAGCACTATCAACAATAGCCAAAGTATGGAAAGAGCCCAAATGTCCATCAGTGAATGAAGGGATAAAGATGTGATACATACATACACACACACACACACACACACACACACACACACACACACACACACAATGGAGTATTAGTTGGCAATCAAAAAGAATGAAGTCTTGACATTTGCAACTATGTGGTTGGAACTAGAGGATATTATGCTGAGCGAAATTAGAGACAAGTATCATATGACTTCACTCATATGAGGACTTTAAGACACACAACAGATGAACCTAAGGGAAAGGAAACAAAAATGTAAAAACAGGGAGGGGGACAAAACATAAGACTTTTAAATCTGGAGAACAGAGGGTTACTGGAGAGTTGTGGGAGGGGGGATGGGCCAAATGGGTAAGGGGCATTAAGGAATCTACTCCTGAAATCATTGTTGCACTATATGCCAACTAATTTATATGTAAACTTAAAAAAAAAATTTTTTTTAATCTATAAATGAAGAGTCACTGAGACAGACCCTGAGTAGTCAGATAATAAAGCCAGTACTTGAATCCGGATCTAACTTTGTTCTAACCAGATTCCCTATTCTCTACCCTGCCTTATTCCCCATTGATGACACCTTTGGTACCAGCTATTTAAATAAGTTGCTTACAGGGGCACCTTGGCTGACTTAGTTGGTAGAGCATGTGACTCTTGATATTGGAGTTGTGAGTTTGAGGCCCACTTGGGCAAAGAGCTTACTTTAAAAAATAGTAAATAAGTTGCTTACAAAGCCATGGTATTTGTGTTAGCTGTACCCTTAATTAAGGGAAGATGTTACAGAAGAAAGCAAGCTTCCAGGGTGCCCTTGTGGGACTGAGATAAGAAAGTGTTAAGAAAACTTTTTTTTTTTTTTTTTTTTTAAGTGCTAAGCTCAAGTCTGGTACGTGAGGTAGGTGGTGCTGTATTCCAAGAATGTAGCCAATTTTTTTGTGTCCAATATACTTATCTCATCCTTGAGATTCTTCCTTAACGAAGATACTGTAGGGCACCTGTGTGGTTCAGTTAATTAAGCATCTGACTTTGGTTCAGGACATGATCTCACAGTTTGTGAGTTTGAGCCCCGCTTCTGTCTCTCCCTCTCCCTTTCTCTCTCTCTGCCCCTCATGGGATTTGCGTGTGCTCTCACGCTCTCTCTCAAAACAAAGATACTGTAGCCTGTATCCACCCTTCCCACCCTTATTTTCTTTTGATTCTGATTCCTTTATCTGACTACTGTCATCACCATGGTCAACATCAGCAGAAGCAGGGAAAAGAGAACTAAAAGAGAACCAATCCGGTGTAAGTGTCCCATTCCATACTCCTGAATCAGGCCAAGCTACCTTCTGCCTCTGCTAGGAGAAAGAAAACACCCTGAGAGTTGGTACTGACTTGGAACAAAGGAACTTGATTGTTCAGTAAGCCAGTATACCTCTCTCTCACACCTGGTCTTCAAGGAGAAAAACCTACCACTGTGGAGGAAAGCCCAGAGGCAGACCTGTATTACCTGTCTGAACTAAAACCCAGCAGCTGTTGACTGCCATTACTCAGCTGAGCCCAGAGTTGTTCAGTTGATTTTGACCAGTCAGACACCCGAGTGCAGCGGCTGACCTAGGCAGCTTCTAATGGAATTCTGGTGTCTCGAGGGACTATGTCTCAGTGATCCCAGACTTCTGGTATTTTCTTGTCCAGGAGAATGTAACAAGGGTCAGAAAAAAGCCCCACTTTATGGAGACTGAAGCCCATTGAGGGTCAGTGGCTTGTAAGAAGCAGCAGAACTCACACTCCACTGTCAGGGCTTTGATTCTGCTCACCAGCTAGTAATACCTAGTGGATAGGTGATTTCTGGGCCTCTCTGCCTCCCTCCCCTTCTTGCCCTCAACTGTCACGGTCACATTCATCCTTTTAAGACCTTCTTCAAATCGGTCATCTAACAAACATTTGTGGACTGAGCGTCTAACCTGTACAGTTAATAAAGTAGAACTTAAACATGTGTGAGTCCTTGCTACTTCGAGGCGTGGTGCCCCTAACAGCACAGCTCTTTTCCACTCTGTACTCTTTTGCTAAGTTCTCCATTGGTGAGCATGGGACCAAATCTCGCTGTGCCTTGTGGATGTCAGCTCTCTTTTTTCCTGCCTCCAAGAGCAGCATTTTCTAAGCAGTTGCTGGCAGGCTAACCAGCAGTGCCACCAAATGAGGGCAGCTGTGCCCTCTTCCTTCTGGCACACTCTTTGCCCCCCTTCTCTTGCAGTTGATGCCCAGTGACGTGACTGAATGGGGTCTTCTTGGGCCAAGGCAGCTGAGGCCACAAGCTGGGCATTCAGTCAGCTTGTTCCCTGCTCTATCCTGGCTGCCTTCTGCAAGGGGAGGAAGTAGGGTGGGAGTTAGCTAGCTGAGCCTCGGCTCCCAGCCAAGCCCCTTCCTTCTGCTTGGGCAGACTGGGTACTTACTCACGCAGCAAGCCTTTATTAGGCACCTTCTGTGTACACTTGGGAGAAACCCTACCTCAGAGAGGGAAAACAGAGCTGAGACCTTTTGCAGGAGCCTGGCATCCTTAAAGAGCTCTTGTTCTCAGAACCTTTTCCTTTTTGACTGGAGGTCCAACATCCGCTGGAGCCCCCTGCTGGGTGGCCCCTGGAGATGAGAACAAAGAAACTGTTAACATTAATGAGGCGCATTGAGTGGGTACTTCCGCCATCTCCAAAGGCAGGCAGGTTTTTCCTCTTTCATTTTGGAAAGTGACAGCTGACAAGGGCCAAACAGACTGTTTTTGGCACTCAGGACTTAAAGATTCTCTGAAACCTTTCTTTTCAGTTCCCTCCCTGCTGCCCTGTCATTATTGCTACCCCCCACGAGGAAATAAATAAAGCCTTTTGATCTTCACCCAGTCAGGCCGAGGGTAAGCTGTAAACAAAAGTGAACTTGTGACATAAGGCTAGGGGAGGGATTTTGGCAGCTTATTCCTCTGCTCCTGACAAAAAGACATCCTGTTTGCCGAGCCAGGATGCCCACCCAGTGGGTATGGTGCCCCAGCTGCCAAGGCACAAGAGAAAGCTGCTGCCTCACCGGCCACTGCAGACTGAAGGGCAGTCACTCCAGGCACCCTCTTTACCAGAGCGTCTGCCTAGAGCCTTCACTGCTGAGGCCAACAGGTAGGAACTTGGAGAGATTTCCATTTAGAGGAGCAACCTTCAGTTACTTCTGTGAGAATTGGCCAAGTTCAGGCTCTCCAAAATCCGGGACTTTGAAAGTTGCTCTGCTGTTCTGATCTTTGGTGGCCTCATTTGTAAATGAGAAGCCTGATAGTACCCACCTTCTAAAGCAGTAGCGAGGATTCACCGAGAGCCTGTCACCTGGCACAAGGCCTGGCTAGTTGTGAGCGCTGACTGAATGTTAGCAGTGCTTGTTACTTGGGGGCTCAGTGAGGCCGGGTCTAAAATGAAGACTAGGGATGACTTCGTTAACCCCTACTCCACCATAGGCCCTCAAGAGGGGAATCTAGAAGGGCTGGTTGGCTTGGCACTGATGAGCTCCCTCTCCTTCTTTGCTCTCCTTACCCTTCTCTCTCTCTAGGGGACACTACACAGAAAATGAGAGCTGCTCACTATCCTACCCCAGCCGAATTGGACGCGTATGCTAAGAAGGTCGCAAACAACCCACTGACTATAAAAATCTTCCCCAACAGTGTGAAGGTTCCCCAGCGGAAACACGTTCGTCGTACTGTGAACGGCCTCGACACATCAGCCCAGCGCTACAGCCCCTACCCGACTCAGGCAGCCACCAAGGCAGGCCTGCTTGCCATTGTCAAAGTGCCAGCCAAAAGCATACTCAAGGACTTTGACGGCACCCGAGCCCGATTGCTCCCTGAGGCCATCATGAACCCCCCAGTGGCGCCCTATGCTACTGTGGCACCCAGCACTTTAGCCCACCCCCAGGCCCAGGCTCTGGCCCGCCAGCAGGCCCTGCAGCATGCACAGACCCTGGCCCATGCCCCTCCCCAGACGCTGCAGCACCCTCAGGGTATCCCGCCACCCCAGGCGCTGTCCCACCCTCAGAGCCTCCAGCAGCCTCAGGGCCTGGGCCACCCTCAGCCCATGGCCCAAACCCAGGGCTTGGTCCACCCTCAGGCCCTGTCTCACCAGGGTCTCCAGCACCCCCCCAATCCCTTGCTGCATGGAGGCCGGAAGATGCCAGACTCAGATGCCCCCCCGAATGTGACCGTGTCTACCTCAACTATCCCCCTTTCAATGGCGGCCACCCTGCAGCACAGCCAGCCCCCGGACCTGAGCAGCATCGTGCACCAGATCAACCAGTTTTGCCAGACGAGGGCAGGCATCAGCACTACCTCAGTGTGTGAGGGCCAGATCGCCAACCCCAGCCCCATTAGTCGCAGTCTGCTCATCAATGCAAGCACCCGGGTGTCGACCCACAGCGTCCCCACGCCAATGCCTTCATGTGTGGTCAATCCCATGGAGCACACCCACGCGGCCACAGCCGCGTTGCCTGCCGCAGGCCCTGTCAACCTGCCCACGGGCATTTCTCGAGCCCCTGCTGGCTACCCTAGCGACCTCAAGCCAGTCGCCTGGAACCAGCACCAGCTGGCCCACCTACAGCAGATGTGCAGTGAGGCCGGTGGGACGCCGGCCCCTGGCCTGACAGGCAAGCACGCAGCAGGACGCGAGTTGGCAGGGCCTGGCTTTGTGGGCAAGGCCCCTGCCTACCCGCAGGAACTCTGCCTGGCACAGTCCTTCCATCTGAAGCCACCCCTGGAGAAGCCAACCCCATCCCCACCTGTCAACGGCCTGGCGGCCCCACTGGCCTACCCCAATGGTCACTACTTCCAACCCCTGTGGAACAACATTCTGCCCACTCCCAATAGCGACAGCTCGGGGTCTCAGGACCTCGCCATGCCGTTCCACGGTGGGCAGCCCACGGGTGCACCCCTTGACTGTGGGACGGCTGCTGGGGCCCACTACCGAGCAGGGGCCGGGGGCGGTCCAGTGGCAACCCAGAACAGCTTGATGCAAACAGTGGATTACCTAAGCGGGGATTTCCAGCAGGCCTGCTTTCGAGAACAGAGCCTGGCTATGCTGAGCAAGGCCCACCGAGCCCCTGGCAACCGAGCCCCTGATCCCGCAGATAGTCGAAATCTTCATATTCAGCACCCTGGGTATAGATAGGTAGCCCCGGTGCCCTCCACAAGCTACACGTCATACATCACCCTCCTAGGTTTAGACTTACTTTTGAGTAATTGGATAGTTTCAGAGTTTCACTGCTCTAATGTGATCATTCTTAGAGGTCTAAGAAAGGGAATTTGGTGGGATCTATTTGAGGACAGCGGGGGATCCCCTGGTGCCCTCACCCTCCCCTCCACCATCCCCAGCAACTTCTGGGTTTATGTTAGGACCTAATCCCAACTCCAAGCTTTTGTCTCTACTGCCTATCAGTCCCTCCACCTTGACCATTTCCCCCCAGCCACCTCCTGCCTTTTCTTGCATCTCTGCCCGTTTTCCTTAGGACTGAGGTGTGGGGTAAGGAAGGGCCCTAGATGAGGTGGCCGTAGGTACCCAGCCCCTTAAGCTAGGACTTTCCCTGTCTGCCTCTGTCTCTTTGGGACTAAGAACCCAGACTTCCCAAGTGCTCTGGAAGTTAATTCCTTCTTCACCCAAAGATCTCAAAACTGACCCAATCTTCACCTCCTCCCACCCCTCTCCATTCCTCAGGGCTTTGTTTAAATCTGGATTCCAGAGTCACTGCATTTGCCCTTGCTACATTCAAGGGCACCCTGTAGGCACTTGGCCATAGCCTTGAGACCTGGGGGAAAAATGCGTCTTTGTGTCGGTATCTTAGTTCCTGACACCCCTTTCCAGCCCTAGAGAAAGGTAGTAACTGTCCAGCACACCCAAGATCCCTTTCTCACTGTTTCTCCCAACTCACCTGCTGCTCCCATCCCCCACACCCCTCCAAAAACACAAGCAAAACAAAATAGGATCTTGAGGAATTAGGTAGGTAAAGAAAGGATGATCACATTGGAGTTCGGAATTAAAAACACCAAAAAAAAAAAAAAAAAGTTAAAATGCATTTGGTTCTCTACACTGGCTAAGAATATTGCTCTACACTGTAAGTTTTAAATGTCCTGTTTCTGTATGAATGTAGTGTGGGTTTGAGTAGCGTTGTGTGAGCGGCCCCACAGGTACATTCACCCTCTAGTCACCTCCTTTTGCAGCCCCTCAGTATAATGAAGAAAGAAAGAAAAAAAAAAAAAACACAAAGCCTTAAGCTCTTTGAATTCTTCCTTTACCAAATGAGCATGGTTCTAACAGCTGGAGGCGGACCTACATTGGAAGCAGCCCCTCCTGCCCGCGCCCATCTGTCACGTGCCCATCCTCCTCCACCCCACGCTCAACGTGTTTCATTCCCAAGTGGCAATTAGTTGGCTAGAAATTTAAAACTTTTCTGTAACTTTAAATTTAGATCATGTTTTGTAATTTTTTGCACCCTTCTGTTAAAGTTGGGCTCTGCCTTTTTTTTTTTTTTTTTTTTTTTTTTTTTTAAACCAAATAAGCCCTTACCTTTCCTCTTGTCTCTGGGGAATGTGAGCTGATGTTCTTATTTAAGATTTGGGGTTTTGTTTACTATACTATCCACTGTTCTTTAGCCAGAAATTCTCTAGTGATCTGAAGCAATGTGACTGAAGACCAGTTTTTAAATTATGTGTTGGCAAGTTGCCTTATATTTAAAAAGAGAAAAAAAAAGAAAAAGAAAAAAAAAAAATGCCTGATTGTGTTATGCCAAATGATAGCAACGTGAAGTCCTAATTTATTTTCCTGCCGTCTGTGAACACTGGTACCTCCCTGTCCCTGAGCCCTCAGGAGCACCTGCAGCTTCTGGCGCGGCGCCTTCTCCCAAGGCTTCACCGCCACCGTCTCACCCAGGGTCCCTTCCGGTTCTCACTTTCTCTGAGAGAACCCCACCGTCCCCCCTTATCCCTTGCTTGATCTCCAAACCAGATATTTTTGCTGTGAGTTTTTCCAATGCCTCTCCCCAAAAGGTGAGCTGCTATCTTAGGAAATGGGACCGGACACCAACTTGGGGGCTTTAAATCAAACCTCAAACCCTCAAATCTCTTCCTGTGTAGGGGTGCAAATCTCTGAAGCTCTCACTCCCACCCCTAGTCTGCATGGAAAAATGTACTGTGGCCCCTCTTTCCCCCCACCCCCCACTGCCCTTGCCTTTGGTGTGAGATGTTTCCTAGTTCACCCTGAGCCTCTCTCCCCCCTCTGCCAGCCAACCCCCAACCAGCAATAAGGGTCCAAGCCAGGGCCTCCTATCCACACTCCCTGCCTCCATCCCACGCTGCCCCTAGGGAATACCTCGGATTCCCTACACTGTCCACATACTGTAGCATTCATTCTCCATCTCCCTCATCTGCTCACCTGTGGTGGTTTATGGGTGTGATGGGGTTTTTAAGATTATTATAAACCAGTAAAAAGAAAAAACTCACCAGAACTTGTCCTATTCGTTGAATGCTGTGAATGTTTGAGGTGACTTTTCTTGTAATGATTTCTGACGTGCCTGCTCTCCACGAGAGAAGCGGGTCCTCAGTTGTAGGACGCGAGCCCTTCTAGTGTTGGGCCCACTCGGAAGCCTCCCAGTCTGTGATGCCAGACCAGGTGCTGCGGTGATTGGGCAGCCGGCACGTGATAGGGCCTCCCCTAGGCGGGGCGCTCGGGGCGTGTTGGGACCCGTGGGAAAGTGTGGTTTACCGCCCCGCTCTACAGGCTCCATGTGCTGCCACTTTCAGTCCACGGACCGTTGAAAAACCAGGATCTGCTTTGCTGATGAGCCAGCCGAAGACTAAAACGCCCCTCCCTCCCCTTCTCCCACCTCCACCACTTTGGGATTTCTGAGGGCCTTTGACAGCTGGAGGTAATAGGTGCCGCAATCTGTGACCTGAAAAGTGGCCCCTCCGAGTACTGATGGAATCGAAAGTACAGTTCCCTTCGGAGCACGCCCTTCTCTGTAAGGTGCCCCTGCCTCCTTTACTCCTCACGCCATCCTTGTGAAAGAAAGCCTTCTACCTGGGTCCCCTACCCGCAGTCGGCCCAAGGTCCTGCAGCTAAGTAGACAGGTGAACCCAGCTCTGCCTGGCCTCTTTGGGCAGATGCGCGGGGAGACCAGCACCTCAGGTTTTGCCTAGTTCCACATAGCGATTCTGACCGTCTGCAACAGCACTGGAATGAGGTCTAGGCCTGGGTGTGGGGGCAACTCTGGGAGGCACCATCCGGCTTTCCCAGTCAGTGCGCCCGTGGAGTGGTGCAGTGACACGGTCCTGCCGGCAGAGGGAGCCCAAGCTTGACCGAGGATGTCCGGCTTCTCTTGGGAGACAGATGCCGGCCCGGCCGGGTCGCCTATTACCTGCCGCAGGAGCTGAAGAGAAGGCATTTGCTGGAGCCCCTGGTAGCCGGTGGTTTTCCCTGCGGGCTTCCAGGCATCGCTGTGCCAAAGATGGCTTATCTGGAGAAGGGGCCATCTTTCCCAGCCGGCAGCCAGGGCCCCATCTCCCCCCTAGATCAGTGAATTTGACCTTTTGAAGGCTAATAAGCTGGTAGTTCCCCAGGCTGAATGTCAAGGGTCTTTCCACCTCAACCTGTGTGTGGGAGGGTGGAAAAGGCAAACACTACCACCCTTGAACCTTCTCCTTAGTAGATAATAGTTGCCATACATCGGGCCTCTTCACAGGGCCAGGCAATAAGAGTAAGGGACTTTATGCTGATTAATCGTAAAGTTTACAAGTCTAGGTAAACAGGATTACTTTCATTTTACCAATGAGAGTAACGGTGCCCCATGTAACTAAGCAACTTGGCAAAAAGCAAGCACAGCAAGGATCCAAACCCAACTCTGCTGCCATTATTGAAGGGAGCTGTATTACTAGGGATTGCTAGAGCTTAAAACCGAATCCAGGCCCTGTCCCAAACCAGCTGAAAGACACTGAGAAATCAGTTCACTCCTCTATTCCTATTTCATCAAATGTGGATAATCACAGGCACTCACTGAGGGCTGTATGAAAAATAAATGAACATGGATGAGAAAATCCAAATACCCTTCAAAAGGCCCTCGGCTCAGCCTAGTCCCTGGGTATGGGCTGGGCTTTGGAGTTGGATTAACATTCTGTCAAGCACGTTTTGCGCTGGGAACAAGCATCGTCTCAGTAAATCTTCACCACAGCCGACTGAGCCGTCCTTTTAGTATGGCGATAGAAGCGATTTCGTTTGCCTGTTGTATTAAACGAATAATGTACATTCGTGCTTAGGAGTGTCTGCTACACGACAGCTATGATCATTAGACCAAGAAAGACTTGCCTGGGGGCAGAAGCAGTAAGTAGTCTTTGCTGGGGTATGGATCAAGGACTCCAGGCTCGTAAAATGCACCTCCCCCATTTAACCACCAGATGGCAGCGGCAGGCAACTGTCTTCCGCACAAAGCCTAGTGCAGTTCCCCTGTCGTCCGCCAGAGGGCGATCCAGCAGCGCAGAGCGGCAAGCAGCACGGCGACCTTGGCCCCGCGCCTTCCCTGTTGGGCCCAGCCTTAGGCGGCCCTAACCATCCCAGATAAGTCAGGCTGGAACCAAGTTAATAAATACAATTCAGGATTTATTAAAAATCAGGGCTCCCCTGCCGTGCCCTCCTGGCACTAAGTAAATAAATAACCAGAGGGGGCACAGCTGGGGAAAGGGGAAGAGAAATCAGATCTCAAGACAGATTCTTTGAACTACCCCTCACATCCCCACTCCCACCCCCCACTATGGCTCTTGGGACATAGCACCAGCAGGCGCCTCAGTCCTGGGTAGAGTGTGGCCGGCACCAAGGCATGTCTTCCCTGCCCAGGAGAGGAGACAGGCCCTGGGATCACTTTTTCCAAGCCCTTGATGACCCCAAGACCTGCTCCCCCCAGGGGCCAGGGCTGAAGCACCAATAGGAGGCACCTGAGGGTGGTAAGGAAGAGGAGAGGGGGAACAGAACCTGGGCAGCAGAAGCAGCTGAAAGGGGGTCCGGCCCCTTCTCCAGGTTCAGCCAGTTCCTGGCTGAGGTCATGCTCCACCCCCTTTCTCCTGGAGCCCCGCCTGCACTCAGCTGAGGATCTTTCGGGGCAATTCAACAGAGGCACGGATGAAGACCGCATCATCCCGCACGTAGTTTCGCTTGCGGATGTCCTGGTGGGAGATGAACTTGGGGTAACCAAAGCCCAGAGAACTCTCATCCAGGGAGCCCCGCCAAGTGCCCGGTTTTTGGAAATTCTTCCAGTTTGGGTCAGGGTGAAAGGTCTCAGTGACATGCTGTGGCTTAGCCAGCCCGGGGTCGCTCTGATCCAGCAGGGAGAAGGTGACGCGGCGGGCAAACGGCCACTCGAGGAGATTGTCAAAGGCACCCGGCAGCACGCGAATGTAGAGCGAGAGGTGCGTGCCCTCACCGCTGCCATTGCCATTGAGGAACGCAGACACCTGCAACTTGTAGCCATACTTGTGTGTGTAGAAGGCCGGGCTGAAGCACTCCAGGTTGGGCTTAGCCTTGGCCTCCTGAAGCCGCCGTCCATAGCTGCCGATCTTCCAGATGAGCACGCCGTCACTGCCCACCGACAGCTCCTCCAGCTCTCGCCGCAGCTCCTGCAGCTCCTGCCGCTGCCGGCTCACCAGGGCGCACATCATGGCCAGGTGCGGCTTCACGCTCTCCTCCACATGCCGGGCCATCGCCAGCTTGGGGCACTGTTGGCAAAGCCCCGGGCCATGGGGGAAGGGAGAACAGTTATCAGTAGGGACATGCCCAGGGGAGACAGGGGACAGAGGGGAGCGGCGATGGGGCTGCAGGCACCCAGCTCTGACCGGGGACGGTAGAGGACACTTGGGAGGCCGCTGCCGGCCAGCAGAAGGAAGGACCGAAGGCTTCAGAGCAGCAAGGCAGGGACCAGAGAGGGCCTGGTCTACATCTGAGGCTTCAAGGACTAAGAAGGGGACAGACAGGGAAGAGGAGGGGCATCTCACCCTGTGTTTGCAGCCGGAGTCTTTGAACGGACACAGCACCAGGGCGGTGCTACAGCTCTCCTTCAGGTGGCCCGGCAGGTCCTCCCGAGCCACCGTGCCCACGCCACACTGGTTGGGGCAGGGTACGGGCAACCTCGGGCACTGGTACTGGTGGCTCTGCGGCCACAGGGGCAGAGAGACAGCGGTCAACAGGCTGACCCCCACCCCCACCCCGCCACCTGCCCCACGGCCCACGGCTCAGGGAGGGCCTCACCTGGATGGTGTCAAAGACGAACTCCTTGGCGCAGTAGGTGCAAGGCTGGGTACGCTTGGGGCACTCAGAGGAGGCATGCTGGGCCAGCAGGCGCCGCATCATGCGGGCACCACACTTGTTCTCGCAGTACACGCTCTCTTGGGGGCATACGCCCTCGTGGCTCTAGAAACGCCAGAGAGGCCGACTGAAGGGATCCCTGGGCCACCAGGCGCCCCACTCACCCTGTGCCCTCCACCGGGCCCCACCCACCTCAAAGGCCTCCCCGCTGAAGTCGCAGCCACAAAACTCGCACTTGAGGCGCCGCTTGGGGCAGTCGTGCTGCAAGTGTGCAGGCAGGTCCCGGCGGCTCAGCTTGGTGGGGCAGCGATTGGGGCAGGGGATTACATTGAAGCTGCAGGTGTTCAGGTGGCTCTGTGGGGGAGCGAGACGGTCAGTGCCTGCCAAGAAAGGGGGAGCCCCCTCCCTCCCACCGGAGACTCACCTGTAGGTGGCGCAGCGGCCCACTCCAGCGGCAGCCCTCCTCACTGTGGATGCAGCGGATAGGCAGCCCCAACACCTGCACCTCCAGCTCCGGGTCTGGGTAGATCTGGGTAGACGGGGAGGAACCCGGCAGGGTCAGAGCCCGCTACAGTCCCCAGTTTCCACCCCCACCACCCCCAGACGGGCCAGCTCTACCTAAGAGTCGGTAACAGCCTCTCTTGAGCTATAGTCCCCTCTGTGCCGAGGGATGGAAGGCAGAGCAGGTGGTGTCTGCTCCAAAGCTGGATACCAGGGTCCCCAACATGCCTGCACGGGACACTCCCTCCTTTTGGAACAGCAGCCAATCAGCCAGCTCAGTTCCGGGCAGCCTCCGCATCCTCTGCTTCCTTCCTCTTGGTAGAGGGGTCTTGGCCCTCAGCCAGGGGCCTGGCTTGCCACCCAAAGGGGAGGGGAGCACTGCTTGCGAGCACAGAGCCGCTCTGTGCACCCCCTGGCACCCCCACAGGCCGGGCATTGTGCCTGCCCTCCAGGGCAAACACTGGCCTCATTTGCAAACTGGCCTGGTGGGAGGGAAGGGGCCACCTTTGTGGGGGCACAGGATTCCACAGGACCGGGTTGACACTGGCCCTGAGCCAACTGGCTGCCGGCAGCTCCAACCTCCACCAAGGGCAAAAGCCTGTAACTGGGGCCTCTGCCTGGCACTGTGGACTCACCTTGGCATAATCCAAAGGA